GAAAGCCTCGCAACCCCAAATCTTGATGTGTTCTAGTTTGGGTATTTTTCCAATCCACATCTTATGAGGAGTTTTGGCAACTTTCTTTGTAAGGACCAAGTTAAGGATATGGGCGGCAGTCTCTAAGGCATACCCCCAAAATGGGATTGGTAGCAAAGCTCGACTCATCATGGAACGACCCATATCCAATAAGGTTTGATTATGCCTCTCAGCCACACCATTCAACTGTGGTGTCCTAGGAGGTTTCAATTGTGAGACAATCTCACATTCCCTAAGATAGTCGAGGAACTCTGAACTAAGATACTCACCACCTCGATCGGATCGAAGCATCTTAATGTTCCTGCCCAATTGATTCTCGACTTCCTGTTTAAACTCTTTAAACCTTTCAAAAGTATCTAACTTATGCTTGATTAAGTAGACATATCCATATCTACTGTAATCATCACTAAAAGTCAAATAATAACGATTAGCATCCCTTGTGGCATGTTTGAAGGGTTCACAAACATCCGTGTGTACAAGATCCAAGAAACCTTCACCCCATTCACAAGAACGGGTTAAGGGTGACTTTGTCATTTTTCCAAGTAAGCATGATTCGCAACTATCACCTGAATTTAGGTCAAATGATTCCAAGACTCCATCCTTTTGGAGTTGGCCGATGCGTTTCTTGCTTATTTGTCCAAGACGACAGTGCCATAATGATGCTTTATCCAAGTTATTATTATTAATAGAATCAATACACAACACATTATTTCCTAAGTTATCAACCACGGATACAGTTTCATACACACCATCACAAGGTAATGCTTTAAAATAAAGAACATTATTAAAGAAAGCATTAATCGAACCAACTTCATTATCAAATGAAAAGGTAAAACCTTGTTTCTACAATGCATGAAAGGAAATAATATTTCTTGCCATTTCTGGCGAGTAACAACATTTATCCAAATCTAAACTCAACCCATTACTTAGCGATAAATTATAAACTGTAATCTTGGTGACAGGTGAAACTTTCCTATTCCCCATGATCAAGTTTATTCTTCCTTGCTCCACATTCTCACTTCTTCTTAGTCCCTACAAATCAGAACAGATATGAATAGTGCAACCGGTATCAAGGACCCAAGAGTTAGAATATGGTGAGTTATTAATAAGATAGTGTAGACACCTGCGTGGTTGGGTTTAACTTTCCCATCCTTCACATCTTACTGGTACATTGGGTAGTTCCACTTCCAGTGCGACTTTTCATGGCAATAGAAGCATTCGGCCTCTTTTGGATCAGGAGAAGGCGTGATGAAACCTTTCTTGCTTCCACTTGACGAAACCTTTCTTCCTCTTCTTCCCTCTACTTTTCCACATTGCCAAGACAGGGGTGGAGTTTGGAGTAGGAGTAGGTGTGTTAACAACCGACTTACCTTTAAGACATGTTTATGCGGTCTTTAGGACACCCTGAAGTTTGCTGAGTGTGACTTCTTCCTTATTCATGTGGTATGTCATGCGGAATTGATCAATGAACGAGGGTAAGAAGTGCAAAATGATATCTATTTCAATCTCCTCGGGGAAGTTCACATTAAGCTTCAAAAAACGGTCCACAAATCTTTGCATTTTTTGCATGTGGCCCGTGATGGGTTCACCATCCTTCATCTGGGTTGTTATCATGGAGGAGATGATTTCATACCTCTTTTGTTGCGAACTTTGATGGTATCTTTCCATCAAATCTTGGTGCATTTCAAAAGGGTAGAAGTCCTCATAGGACTTTTGGAGTTATGTTGTCATGGTGGCCAACATGATGCATGCCACTTTGGTAGCATCCCTTTCATGTGCCCGCAAGTCAGCGATCTCCTAGGGAGTTGCAGTGGTCTCTTCAATCTCCTTAAGCTCCTTATCGAGGACATATTCTTCATCCACATAGCTGGTTATCATCTTGATGTTTCTGATCCATTCATTGTAGTTGGATCCATCAAAATTGACTTTCCCACACAAGCTCATCAGGGTAAAGGAGCCATTAGAATTAGAGCCAGAAGTAGCATTGTTTGAAGACATCTGAGTGAGAAAAAAGAATAGATTAGTTTAGATATAGATATAGTCCTTAATAAAACACCAAAATGTAATATTAAGGCTAGGACCCTATCACAATATATTATACTTAGAAGAGGTATGCCGTAACCTAAGTAATAACATACTTGAAAGGTAGGTGAATGACGATTCACCAATTTCCACCAAAAACGAAATATTAAAATATTATGTTTTTAATTTGGTTCTTAGAAATTCCTAGATTCTTTTGAGATTTAGTGAACATTTCAAAGGCAAGTTTCAATCTCGAGCGTGCCCTCCAAGTTTTGTTACTGGGATACCGAGGATCAAAAAAAGAGGTGTGAAGTAACCATGCAAATCACCTGGTACCCTTAATGTTTATCACTCAATCGATATGCCGGTTAACAACACACGCTCCACCGATACTATGATAAACCTTAAGTCACCCTTTTCCTACCTTATTAAGTCTAAGTTAGTGTGTCGGTTAACCACACACGCTCCACTAACACCTTAAACAAAGTGTAAAGTGTAATTTCACGGATTAACACCTTATTAACATTTTTCCTAAAGTGACTGAGATTGGGAATTTAATAAAACATTTAGTTACTTTATAATACTCATTATACTTTTAATGAAATTTTATAAGTCCTTGTCCTACCCGTTCGGCTAACGACCCTCCATCGATCAAGGAAGCGGTAGGTGAGAGTGGACCCCCATTAAGTTGCCATTTTATAGGCAACAACCTTATACCCCCCTTATAGACTGGCTTCGTGAATGAGACGTACTAGCGGTAAGACAACTTGATCTTATACATACATACATACATACATACATACATACATACACACACACACACACACACACACACATATATATATATATATATATATATATATATATATATATTAACTTATAATTTTATAAAGTATAAGGGTTGAATTTTAACTTTTAAAATTCTAAGGGTTAAAACTAAAGTTTTAATCATGACTTTACTTGTTCCAAAATTTGAGGGCAAGTTTTGCAAACTTTCAAAACCTTTCATTTCTTATAACTTATGAATTAATTGAGTACTAAAAATGAAGACTCTTCATTTTTATAACCCTTTTGTTCTTTTAATGGTTTTTTATTAAAGTGTGACCTTTGGTTTTCCATAACTTGAGGACATGTTATGGAATCGATTACAACACATAATGATCATAAATTAAACTACCAAGTAAGTTACAAACAATACCTATGATCATCTAATCTTCATAAATTCAAGAACATGAATATGTACATTTCAAGAGTCATAAATTGCTCATAAAACTTGTAATTTTTGAAAATTTCAATTGTAAATGGATTAGCATAAACATTACACCATCTAAAACAAGTTTTAAAACCCAAAAAAGTTTAGGGTAATGTTTCTAGTCCATTTCCAGCAACAAAAGTCCAAAATTTGCTATCAGGGCCTCCTACTCGTCGAGTGCATGAACCTACTCAACGAGTAGGATGACTTTTCACATGGAATCGTTGAGTCCCCCCTTGGACTCGGCGAGTCCCCTGTTCAGACAGTAAGCTGTTTCTATTTTTAACACATTTTTACACAAATAACAAACAAACAAGCCTATTCTCTGATACCACTGATGGGTTTTGAGCATTCTAACACTTCCTAAGTATACATGAAACCCTAATAAACCTTGATCTATGTTTGTCTAAGATTCATGCAAAATTGATTTCCAAGGTTAATGATCCTATCTAGCATACATGGGGAACATTTTAACTTAAATGATAGATAGAATAACATACCTTGTTGTTGATTTCGATTCCTTGAAACCTTGTGAGCCTAGCACCCCAAGTGTGATGCCTCAAATTCTTCACACAGCACCAAATGCTATGGAGTAAACTTGGAGAGAAAGTATAACATTAAAAAATCGGCTCTAGCCCTCTAGTATGCATGCATAGCCGATTTTGGGAGATGTCACATGGTTTATATAGTGTGTTGCATTAGGTAAACCCTAATATAACATGAATCTTCATTTCCATAACCCATGGATTAACTCCATGGAGCATCCATGGGGTATCCTATGGGTGGAAGCCAACTTGATAATCCATGAAGCCTCTTAGCCCACTATATAAGTTATGGATGATCTACATAATCAACCCATATATTTAATTAGTTATCTTTTGATCACTTAATTAATTCTAAATTAATTCTTGACCAAACTAATTAAATAATATTATTAATATATTATAACTTATAATATATTAATAAATCATAAGTGTTATTTCTCTCATTCAGTTTTTATCCAATGCATGATGCCCTGCAACCCAAATGGACCATGCCTGGTCGAGTCAAGTACATACCAGAAATAGTTATGGACTTAGACACCTTATCCAACATAAGTTGTGTTGGCCTTTGCGTCATATAAGCCCAATTTGGAAAGCACAAAATTAGCTACTTGCGTTATCCATTAATGTCCAGCTTAGCAATAAATGCTTTTTATTTCTTAATTCAGTAAGTTTTCTTTTCTCTTTCCTTGATTTCACCTTATATAAATGTTGTTTTCTTGTTTCTATTGCATTTAATGTGTGTAAGGAAAGTAAATTCACTTGTAATATGTATCCATATATAGCCAGTGAAATGTCTCGTCAGGATATCTTGTTAGAAAATGTGGTATCTGGTAAAGAATCGAATGTGTTGGCCATTTACCTAGGTCGCCCTTGCGACTTCCTGGGTTTGGGTCAGATGTGTTTCGATTGATCAACTTTGGGGTACTTTAACTATTTCCATGATCGACACCCCATTACTTTCTTCTTCATCTTTGGGTTTTGGTGTTGTTCTGACCTTTTTTCAGACTATATAACGCAAGCATAAGCGTTCCTTGACACCGCACCAATTTGAGAACTTCATTCGTGATGTAACATCGTCATCTTCATCTTGTTGTTGTTATTAACGATAAGAAGTATGTATATTATTTTTTTCTTTTCCTCTGATGATTCCTTACATTCCGTTTTATATAGTAGGGACATGTTCTTCATGTGTTTTACTACACAGAGAATTAGACGAAGCTTGTCAGTCTATTGCTTACGCAAAAGATATTATTTCTATTACCATTGGCAAGAAATCCAAATTGTTTGACTGGTTGTTGATATTTCGTGATCAGTATATTTCTGCTGAAGTTAACATGAGAAGTGGTGAGGGTATGAAGTTAGTTGGTGAGGAGTTGTTGTTCAAAGTTGGAAAGTTGCATGGTGAGCTGATTGATCATTGTCGCATTGCCTCTGAATGAATATTCTTGTTGGAGAATCAACATTTACTTTTAGAGGATGATTAGGAGGCATGTCTTCGGGAGAACCAGGTTCTTCAGGCTCAGTTTGCTGCTAGGTCCATATTATTTTTATTGCCTAGACGAGTTACACTTTCCCTTTTTTTACTTTATTGCAAGCATTGATATTGCAATTTCTTGAAGTGTAACCGATTTGTTTTTCTTGTATGTTGTCTTCCTATATCATGTGTACTTGGTGGTTCAAATGATCTCTTTTTGGTGCTATTATTATCTAACCCTCATTTTCCATACTTGAGCCGTATGCTTGTTCACTTTTCCAAAATCACGTTTCCCTTCATGTGGTTTTTGTATCGACATCGTGTTAGGACTAGGATAGAGTTATTTTATGATGTGAATTTTTTCTTATGATTGCAATTGTCGTGTTACTTTCATCATTTTATGTGGTATGTGTTTAAGAGTATGCGATGATATGACCTTAATCGAATTGTGTTTGATGACTTATCCAATTGTTGTTTGCCACGTATAGGTTGTATTCCTTTGAATATGAGATTGTATGAATTGAGTAAAATCATGCTTAATGCCTTATTGGGTTGTCCTTTGCCATATACAGGTTGTATTGCTTTGGATATTCGATAGTATGACTTTAGTCATAACCATGCTTGACGCCTTAACATGTTGTCTATTGCCTTGTACAGGTTGTATTGCTTTGGATATGTGATGGTATGACTTGAGTCAAAACCATGCTTGATTCCTTATTGGATTGTCCTTTAACCCGTGCAGGTTATATTGCGTTGGATATGTGATTGTATGTGTAACATCTTAATTTAGAGGTGCATTTTATGTAAATTAAAATTTGGCTTTTAAAGGATGTCACGGCATGGGAAATGATCACCACGGCATGGCAGGGCATTTTTGGTTGTAGGTATATGTTGACTTGCCATGACATGACAGTACTTTTGGGAGATTTTCAAGGAAGAATCAAGAAGGAGTATTCCAAGTATCAACAACTAAGTCCCCATCTCCTTTCCTAGCTCGATTATGGACAATTTTTCAAGGCTCCACCTTTTTGTTACTAGGTTATTAGATCTTGAGTTTTGTCTCTTTTTCTTCTAGATCTTTTTAGTTGGGATTGTGAGATTTAATATAGGTTGCAACTTTATGAATCTCTGGATCATTTGGAGTAATTCATGGTTTGGATCTGAAGTTTGGTTGGTTGATTAAACCATACATAAAATTTTGGTCATCTTCCCCATTTTGACCTAATATGACTACAAGACATGCATTGGACACGCATGTCTAAAAAGCACCAACCTTTATGTTGGTTTTAGTGTTATAAGCTCTTCTAAAGTGAATAGGTTAACGAATAAAGGGATTAAGTGCTTCCTGGTTGACCCCATGCCATGTTTTTTCCTTTTTGAACCTAAGACTTGAGATTTAAACCTCTTAGAGAGTCATAATGAATAAAGTTGATAACTTTATCCGTCTAGACTATATAAATAACCAAATATGAGCTTTGGAATCTTTGGAATCGGAGGCTTCAGCTTAACCCATGAAGATGCTTGAATCTAAAATGTCCTAATAATTAAGACCAATTTTTTTTCGCATAATAACAAAACTACCAACTAGTCATGATCATAAAAACATAAAGCAAAATCAGAGTGAATCATTCAATCATCTCAGTGCATTAGATTCATATAAAGCAGAAATCATGGTGTGTAAGCAATGCGATTACCCCGAACTCTTCCCTCGATCTCAAAGTACTTGAAACATAAAGTGGAATCCGAAAGCACAAAGCTTAGTGAGTTCCCCAAAATACCTCATACCATACATATCAAACATACAATGGGCCATGCCCCACTCCCATCGGGCCTCTCTCGACATCGAGTCCCTCCCAGAACAGATCTGTCAATAATATGATATGGGCTCTACATCATCACATTCATCAGGACTTGCCTGGCATAGGACCCTTCTTGACATCCATAAAGACACATAAAACACATGCAAGAATCACTAATATAAACACCATACAATAACCACATCAGACCCCGCCTAGAATCGGAATCCGCCCGGTATACATATAACATAACATATATGCAAGAGTCACAAAGATAAATAGCATACAATACCCTTATTAGGCCCTACCTAGAATCAGACCCTACCCCGTATACATATCACATAACATACATGCAAGTGTCATATAGACAACTAGCATCGTAATCATAACAAACTGTTGGTCGGCATTGGTGTCTTCAAACCGCCAAGCACAATGAGGAAACTTACCTCAACCACAGGAAATCAAATAAATGATTGGACTTTTGATCCGGATAATCATCGCACTAATCAATCAAATAAAACCCCAATTAATAATTGGGCCATAATCCATCATGAGGAATCTAATTCATTTGTCCAACTCCTAGGGTAAAAGACCATTTTACCCTTTCCTTACTTGGCCCAATAATCACGGCCCAAACCAATGAATCCAAAGGCCAAATATGGCCCAAATTCCTAAATGACACCCAAAGCTCATTATGGGACCAAAGCCCAACATTGCCCCAAAGTCAGAAAGACTAATAGACTAACAAGGACCAAAATCCTAAAAGTCCAAATAAGGCCCACATCTCAAAATTCAAAAAAAGTCAAGGCTACTGAGTATACCCAACATACTTAGATTTATTCCTAGAGTACTCCACTTTGGCCAATATGAATTGTGTATGAGTTTAGTACGCCCAACGTACTCCGTAGTGGTCCAAATATTTCCATTAAGTACTTAATCTATTAAGTTACTTTGTCCATTCTATGAGCTGATCCTAAATGACGTCTTATCACATAAAGTTGGCAACTTTACTCCTTTGGATGTCTTAATGGGACCCAACACTCAATAAAAACCATAATAATAACCCTAAATCATGCATGGTCCAATATAACCCGCCAAGATTGCATTTTTTATGAACAAGGGACCCAAAAGATGCCAAGATCTATCATCCTTAGCTTCTGAAGTAGCTTATACGCCAAGCATGGCTTAAAGGACCATAAAAACGTAGAAAAAAACCCTAACTAGATATTATCAAAAGAACCATCAAGTTAAGAGCTTTGTACTGCCACAAGCTTTCCATGTTGGTGATGTTTCTGGATCCACAAGCTCTAACCACAATAGTACCACTTCCAAGAGTTCCTCTTCCTTCAAAATCACCAAAATCACCTCTAAATGTCACTTCTAAGCCCAAAACACTCAAATGGAAATTAGGATTTCATTGATAGGGCTTGGAAAGGTGGAGGCTTGTTGTAACAAGGTCCATGAGTGGCTTAAGGATATTAAATAGGGCACAAACCCTAAAATTTAAGGTTTACCCATGTTGGCCGTATGCCCCACGTAACTATATGTACGTGCCACGTACGTTGAAGCCTCCGTGATGCAGATGTCGAGACAGTACCCCCAACGTACTTGGCTAGGGTCTAGAACCACCAATCCTCCGAAGGGCATAACTTCTTCATTCTAAGTCTGATTTCGATGTTCTTTTTATCCATAAAAATCTAATGAGAAGCTCTAAAATCTATCACTCTCTTTTCCTTAAAACTTCTCGACCCTAAATTTAAAATTCATAAAAGGCTCGAACTATCAATTTATTGCTATACCCTTGGGTTCAAAATGCAAACCGAAAACTTTTTACCTATAACCTACATTATCCACCATCAAAATGGGCCTAAAACTCTCCTTCCCAAGGCATGAAGCCTTATGATACTTGATCCTCGGGTCACGACCACAAATTATGGAATGACCTAAAACAAGGTGTTACATAACCCAATGCCCACAACATGGCGACTGGGGGAAATCATGTCTGTTTTTTCATTTAAGGGCCACAACATAGCCAATGATGGCCATGACGTGGCGGCTCAACTTTGACCGTTGACTTTTGGACATGTGTTGACTTTGGTCAAACCCCTAGTTATGAAAGGTAAACTAAGAGTGTACCTTGTATAGGCGTGTAGGTAGGGTACAACATCTATACTCTTGGCAGTAGGTGAAGTAGCAGTTGATCATGTATGATAGGTGAGTCTTTTCACTATAATTATGGGTCAAAGGCAAGAATGTCGACCCATTGGCTTGTGTTATATGCTAGTTGTCTTTGTGATGCTTGCATGCAATATCTTGAGGGTAGCCCATGACATTTAAAGGAAAGACCATGGGGGTAGCGCAAGACACTTGGTTGTAATACCCTGGGGATCTCACATGGCATTCCAAGGAAAAGAACAAGGGTTAGCGCATTACACTTGTATGCAAGAATATGGGGTAGCCCATGGAAATGTATATATGGTATGTGGTATTTTGGGGTTCTCACTAAACTTTGTGCTTACGGTTTATGTTTGAAACATTTTTCAGGTACTTCTGGTTTGAAAGGGAAGGACCTAACATGATTGCATAGCATCCACTAGTAATGAACATTTTATGATTTTGGGATTGTACTCTGATAACTATTTTCCACATTTTCATACTTTGATGTTTTGAAATGAAAGAATGATGGTTTTTGTCGACTTAAAAATAAAAAAATTTACTTAGTATTTTTGGGTTGTTACAAGTTGGTATCAGAGCCTTGGTTTGAGGGATCCGGGTTCGCTCTCGAGTGTGTCTGGACTCAAAATGAGAAATTGGTAAAAAGAAAAGATTTTTCTAAAGTTTTTAAAAAAGAAAGGGTGTGATGTGTGTAATCGGTCGAGCTCAAGAATTTTCCAAAATACCTATAGATGTGTATTTGTTCTAGTATGTACATATGTGAATAGAATGCTAGATTAGGGATAAGGATTTGTTTAGAATCATATGATAGGACGCTAGGAGAGATTCCTTTGTATGCTTATTGTATGAGCCTTTAGAACTTCATGCTCGTACGAATTTCACATGAGATGATAGTGCGGCCTGATTAGGCAGTGCATTGGTCAAAACTCGATGCTCGAATGTTGCTTACTTTTTTCTTTTAGGGACATCCACTAGTATCAATTAACTATCAAGT